TCGAATGCAGGCTAACCAAGGAAACTTTGCCTAAGATCAATAAGTAAATGTCTCAAATAGGGTGCGTAAACTAAGCAAATCACAACTTCGGAGGTAAATCTGGCTACTTGCAGAGAAATACTAGACATATTCGCAAGTGACGATATAATCCCTAAAAGCCAGGCTTGAGGAATCTGAAGCTGCCATTTACGACGGGTGATCCAAAAGTAATGATAATCGGTTATTTCTAGCCAGCATAAAAATCTTAAATATTTTTTCCTGGTTGCTTATGTAGTTAGGGGAGAGGGGGGCATAACGGGGACGCGAGTCACGACGGGGCCACCCACACTTACAAAAAAACTATACACTCTGGATGTGTTTTGTTTTTGCTAATAGGTGGACATTTTCTATCTTTGTTTGGGGTAATATATGACAAATATAATTTGACGCCAGACAGAATTTTTAATTGCTATGAGACTGGTCCTCTATGTTCCTGAACTGAAGATAAATCTTTTATCTGTCAGTTGTGTCACAAGTAGAGGTTATGTTTTGAATCAAATCAGCAATATATGTGAAAAACAGAGTATGGACCAAGATTCTGTAGATGCTGTTTTATTTAAATGAAAAAAAAATCACGACTTCAATGGGGATGTTTCCTAATTTTTGGAATGGCCTTATTTTGTAGATAAACCATGTATGAACATGAAAAAAAATATTATAAAATATAATACTCATTATTTCAATAAAAAAACACGTAAATAAAAACAACTCTTTCATTTCCCCCCAAAACGTCCCATGACGTCACTTCTTTGCATACGAACCTCGCGTCACGGCCTGTCACTGTCAATTTGAAAGAACCACTGATTGATAATACTCGTAAATCTTTGTTGTCTAAAGTTGTTTTTAGTAATGGAGATAAAAATGAAAAAACCATGTTACAAATTTTGTGCTGTGCCATTGTGCAAAAGTACAACGATCAACACGCCAAAAAAACTTTTCATATCCCAAAGAACGAAGATGTAAGGAAAAATTGGTTCTTACTTGCAGGAAGAAACCCAACTGCAAGATCAAGTACCTCTTATTTTTGTGAAGATCACTTTAATGTAAGTTCTAATGAGTATAGAATATAAAAGTTTTTGGTTATGTGATAAAAATCAAATATTTGTAAGATTTTTTAGAAATCATGTTACGCTATTAATAAAAAATATTTTTTAGCTTCAAAATGACATGGAAAATTATATTCAGTACACTACAATGGGTGTAATATCGCAAGTTAAGTTGAGACCTGGTTGTTTACCAACAAAGTTTGCTTGCCAACAGCAAAGTGGTAATACTTCTACTAATACTATACCTATTGGTATAAAACGAAAAAATCTCACATCAGCATCGAAAGAGATAAGTGCTGCTGGATTAGAACAAAGTGAAAATATAAATATTACTTCAACAGAAACATGTGAACCAGTTGCTACAAAAAAGAAAAGACTCAATTTGACAAATGAAAGTAAACTAAAAAGAGCAACTCTATTAAAAGAAATTGAAAAATTAAAAGTAACAGTTAGTAAAGGTTAGTACTTGTCTTTTATAAGTATTTATTAATATTTAGAGATACAGTAACTTTTTATAACACACCATGTAGGAACACATAACTTATTATCTTGAAAGCCCATTTATACATCAGTTTACTGGATGTATAAGTAAATAAAAATTGTATTTTCTTTACTAACTTCTTTTTTTTTCAGATCCACACCTTAAACAAGATATAAACAAAATTGATAAAGCAGTCCAGGTACAAATTGCTGCCAAGTGCAGAAGTAAAAGTTCACAGACTCTGAACATGTCATGTACAAAGCAAACCTCTCCAATAAAATTATCTACTAAATCTGTCTCCACTTCGCCTTTCAAAATAACAGACTTGAAGCAATGTATAAAGCCACAACTATTTCAGTCAGGTGTATCAAGGAACTTATTAAATGATGATAAATCAGACAGTGATGTATCATTATACACACCCCCTGTTGCACTTATAACAAAAACTTCTTCCGACACAAGCAGTTGTGAAGCAGAGTTGAAAGGTGAAACCAACATAAAATGTATACTACAGCATACAATAGTCAAAATAAGAAACAGACCACAGTTTTATATTGGTGTACCAAAAAATTGTTATTTTTTAATTAACATCATCCACGAGCATACAGGTATTCCTGTAAATCATATATTATTATGCTTAAAAAAGATACGCTTGGATACAAAGTTTTCTGAACTCTCAGATGAGTTTGGAATAACTGTATCATATGCAAGCAAAGTTTTCAAAGAAAACATCCCCAAGATTGCTAAAGTTATGAGGCCTTTTATAGTAAATTTAGAGAAGACTGCAATTAAAAGGTGTTTACCTATAGCTTTTAGGAAAAACTATCATGAAACAACATGCATCATTGACTGTCTTGAAATTGAAATCCAAAAACCAGGTAAAGCTTTACACCAAGCACTAACTTGGTCCGAATACAAAAAAGCCAATACAATAAAATATCTTATTTCAAGTACTCCAAATGGACTTGTAAATTATATATCACAAGGTTATGGAGGCAGAATCAGCGATGTGTGTCTAGTAGAAAATTGTAATTTTCTAAATTCTTTACCTAGTGGGTCCCAAATAATGGCTGATAGAGGCTTTAAGCATATAGAATCATTGTTACTTGGCATTGGATCTAAACTAATAAGGCCACCAAGCATACTATTAGGCAATAAACTTTCAAAGAAAGAAGCAAAAGAAACAAAAAAAATTGCAAGTCTGCGTATTCATATCGAAAGGATCATTAGACGCATAAGGGAGTTTGCTTTTTTGACACATTCCTGCATTAATAGTAATTTTTTGGGGAAACTCGATGATATTATTGTTATTGCTTCTGGCCTAATTAACTTACAAACCTCATTAATTAATAAGTAATATTTTAACATATGATAGACTAATTGGGTAATAAAAGACTAAATTATATATAAGTATTTTTATTTACTCTGTAGCTTTAAACAATAAATGGTAGATATTCTTTTTCCAAAATAATATTATTGTGTTTAATAATGACTTTACATAATCTTCATTGTATTTTACCAGTATTATATTTACTTTACTATTATGTTTATAGTTTACATCAGCTACGCAAAAGTAACAATTTTTGCACATGTAATTGAATTTGCACTTGGTCATAACATTTATGGGAGGGTCTCCCATTTTGAATGTAGTTATTAACAGTTTTTTCAGAAAAGGGACATTTTATTTCTATAGTGAACTGGTCACCTATTCCATCAGGTGAGCCAGCAATCATAGGAAATTCCTTGCTTATGAATAGACCACATTTTTTTATTGATTTCTGCAGCATGTCTTGTACTGTTTGAAGTACTTTTGCTTCCATATTCCTACCAGATTTCATGGCTGTTGTATCAGGGATGTTACCACCCATAATCAAAGCAACTAAGGCACCATCACTTGTTTTACAATTTTTCACTTCATAGGCTTTCGATGCGGTGATTCTTCCAAATCTCAGTTCATGCCACAATTTATTTCGAGCCTGGCTTCTTGTGTGGATTTCGATTTTTTTTAATAAATCTGTAGCGAAATGGCTAGAGATACTCTTAACAAAATCTTCTACACATTCTTTTTTATAGGTTTGTGTGAGATGGTACATTGATAGCCTCTCCATATCATTCGTGTTGTCTTGCACATATCTTAAAATTTCACAGTTCGTGATATCTTTTGCTGTAGCCAATTCAATAAAATCATTATATACACTAGCATCTGAGGAAGTGGAAGCTTCTACTCCAGCTAATTCGGTAGATGTTATGAACTTCAAAGATGTTCCCACCTTGGACAATTTTGACTTTTGCCAGTAACATTGGACATCTGTACAAGATGGCTCCTCACTTCGTCTATGTAGCCACATTAAAAATGCCACTGCATGCTTACAGCCACCTGCTGATGCCGTACAATCGTGGCATTGCGCACTTAAAACGATAGCGTTTTTTTCGTCTACGACGACACTTACTACGTAGGGTTTTGTACGAATTTTATGTTCAGGGCAAACGCGACACTTTACGATACAAATAATGTTCTCCCTTTTAATTTGCACATATCCAACGGCATCATCGCCATAAGATTCTCTTGAATATCTGAAAGATACAAAATAGGACCATTAATATACCACTAATAAAGTAGCCAAGGTATTACAGATAATGAGTACGGAATATGTTAAAACATGTAAAATAATTAACACAGTGGTTCTTCATTTGCAATATAGTTTATTAGTAAAAAAAAATATAGTTACTTACAAAGACATCTTCACGTTTCTCAACTCCGTTGCACAGAAATCTTTGTTCATTGCATAAAATCTTGCCACCATCAAAGAATCTATTTTAGGTAAGTTAAAATTATTTCCTTTGGCGAATCCAATATCCATTGTGGTTAAATATTACAATGCAATGCAAAAATGAACAGAAGATGATACTTTTAACGTATTAATTACACTTGTTGCTTCTCGTGGAAGATTATGTTTGTGTGTAAACAGTGACTGCGTCCTACACCAGTGTGACCAGGTATAAATTGAATTGTACTATAAGCTACTCTTATGAATTTTGATATATTTTTCTTTTGTAATATTCATAAAATGTTTTGCTCATAACTTATGTCGTAATTATAAAAACACTCAATAATGGAGTCCTCATAATATGAAACGCGCAAACTCAATTATTACAATCATTTAGAAAAAAATATAACTACAAAATGCACTGACATTCACTGAAGTTGGTCACACTGCCATGTTATATGCGAGAAAGTGACGTCATTGTTGTTTGAGATCGAGTAATGGAGGTTAAAAAATATTGCAGCGTTTTTAATTTATATTTAATTTGAGACAAACATTCAAGGTCTCTAAATGTTATTATAGGTTATAAAATGCTGTCTTTAAAATATTAAACATATATTTATTTGGATTTGTAACATTAGGAAACATCCCCATTACTTGTGGTCGCAGGAAACGAATAGAAGTTATGCTCTTCACAGCGAGCTATGGAAAAACTTAATCGAATGCAGGCTAACCAAGGAAAGTTTGCCTAAGATCAATAAGTAAATGTCAAATAGGGTGCGTAAACTAAGCAAACCACAACTTCGGAGGTAAATCTGGCTACTTGCAGAGAAATACTAGACCTATTCGCAAGTGACGATATAATCCCTAAAAGCCAGGCTCGAGGAATCTGAAGCTGCCATTTACGACGGGTGATCCAAAAGTAATGATTATCGGTTATTTCTAGCCAGCATAAAAATCTGAAATATCTTTTCCTGGTTGCTTATGTAGTTAGGGGAGAGGGGGGCATAACGGGGACGCGTGTCACGACGGGGCCACCCACACTTACAAAAAAACTATACACTCTGGATGTGTTTTGTTTTCGCTAATAGGTGGACATTTTCTATCTTTGTTTGGGGTAATATATGACAAATATAATTTGACGCCAGACAGAATTTTTAATTGCTATGAGACTGGTCCTCTATGTTTCTGAACTGAAGATGAATCTTTTATCTGTCAGTTGTGTCACGAGTAGTGGTTATGTTTTGAATCAAATCAGCAATATATGTGCAAAACAGAGTATGGACCAACATTCTGTAGATGCTGTTTTATTTAAATGAAAAAAAAATCACGACTTCAATTAGCTGTGATTCTAACAGCCCACAACCACTTACTACAGGGTTAGTAGATACCTAACCTTACAAGACATCCTACTACTATTACCCGCTACTAATAAGTAGTATATATGTTCTTGCAGATTATGCTCTACATCTATGCCAAATAAGCTTGTCGTACTATAAATATTTTCCTATAAAATTAGATAAAGGTAGACTTTATAACACCAATCTTGTAACTTAAACGGAAGGCTTAAATACATGTTACATTTATATATGAGTTAACGTAACAAATCATTTTTATACCTAATATTTTCGAACAATGAGAAACAAACAATTTTTTACACATTCTTAATAATATTTAACAATTATTTACATGACAATTAGACATCTAAGTAATTGACTGATACGAACCAATTGATTCCTTCCACGCATAAATATATTTACAGCATAAGTAGTTGAAACCGTCAAAGCTTAAGGGTGCTTTTGTAGCCTCTTCTGACAGGTATAGCGCCACGCACTCTCAGGCGACGTAAAGCCTCTCTTAAATGTTTGGGCTGCAACGGACCAGGCTCACCAGACTTCTCGAGAACTTCTAAAGCTAAAAAAAACACATATTTTAGCAACTCTATTAAATATTGTGAGTCATTTGTGTGAAAAGAAATTATATTTCAATATTATTACCTTCTTCAACAACTTCTCCGACAAATACTTTAGCAATACCTGACATTGCTATTACGACATTTTGCCCCACTGAACATCCCGTTATTGTTTGCATCAAACGTTTTACAGCCGCTTTAGGGAATGCTGCTCGTCTGTACATTTCATACCTATCCAGCTGCTCTTCCGTAAAATTTGATACTAAAACTCTGAAAGTGTACAAAAATAACATGTAATAATTGTATTTATATTTACTATTAACATAAAGATTATCTAAACTTTTACTTAAATGTGTAATTAATAATGTTACTTGTAGAATGAGTTACATTTCTAATGTAAAATTACTTGTTTTGATATATGTTGTAAAAATAATAAAACAATTTATACTCACTGCATTTTTTCTCTTTCTTCTTCTTCTAACTCCTTTTTACTTTTCTTTTCCCTCTCTCTTTCACAAATCAACAAATCATCATTCATTTGTGAATCATAATTGTCATTTTGAGATTCATTTATATTGGACATATCACCATTGTTTTCAATATCATACTTATCATTATCATTTTCATATTGCCTGTCTTCAGATTGTTGCATATCATAATTATACTCACCGAAAGGTTCATATTGTTCACTAATGTCATGCAAATCAGATTGTGTTGTTATGAAGCTATTGGAGTTTTCAGTATACATACTGTTACCCAGTTCTTCAGTTTCATGAGTGATGTCAATATTGTGCAAATCATCAGAGTAACTTACAATATTACTTTGTGAATCCTGGATATTGTCTCCATAATTGACCAATGTTGTATCTGAAGAAATTATACATATTATTGACGATTGAATATTCTTAATGCTTGTTGAATTAGAAGTAAGTTTTTTTTTTATAATAAAAAGGGCCAACAAATGGCGTGAATACCAAGGTGGTCAACGACGCCCATGGACATCCGCAACACCAGAGGAACTACACATGCTTTGCCTACATGAATTATGCGAAACCTAGTAGTTACATGAACTACTAGATTTCGCCCGCAACTTCGTCAGCGTTGATTAAAAATAAAACAAAAGTGAGTAACCTATGTTTTCTTCTAGGCAATCCTCTACATCTATACCAAATTTCATCGAAATCCGTTCAGCCGTTTAGCCTACAAACTCTAACAAACATACATCCATCCAACCATTTAATTTCGACTGTCGCATTTATATTAATACCATGATTATTTCATTATTTTGTATTAACAATAATACCACTTATGGAATCTTGCGAAATTCGGCACAAAGTAATATATTTAGTTAATCACTATCGTATTTACTGTTTTCAAAAGATGGCAGATCAAATAAATTACTTACATTCTGGTTCATCTTTTAGCAATTTTTCTTCAATTTCCAATGATATTTCTTGAGAATCATCTTCATTGGAGTCACTATGCTCCAATTCTCGAGCCAATTCATCTTCTGAAAACCATCAATTCATACTTTCAATAAAACTAGATCACACGAAAATAATAACCTTTCTTAACATTACAAATAAGTTTACCTCTCAATCTATCTGCTTCCGAAAATCCGTCACTGCTTGGATTATCTGCCATCGTGAACCCCAAAAAGACCAGGTACAAAGTATTTTGATGATCTATTAAATGCGTTTATAGTTTGCTTTCATAATTAATTCTTAAATTATACCTTCCATACGTTAAAATAGCCAAAAATAGCTTGATCAATCTGACAGTTTTCAAAGTCAAACAGCCATTGTTATGAAATTTGACTTTGTCTGGGGCTACCACTTCATCATTTTGTCACAAATTAGTGAGACTTATTATTATTTCATGATGTGTGGCAGTTTATATGTTGGAGAAATGGGTAATAGTTTGAGTTGAAAAAATTAAATGATAAAATAAATATAGTAGAATTTTAACAATCATCACATCACTTGTAAAGTTTGACGTTGTCACTTTGACAAAGTTTGCAAAATTCACAGATAAACTCAGTTTTAATTTCTGCCTCAAATACAACCGGTTGTGTGGATGCCTAGTGTTCCTGTGCTGTTCTAAAATTTAACGTGTGTTTTTGTGCTCCGGTGCGGACAGAGAGTTCCATCATGAGCGCTTTATTGAAAGTGGCTACCTCTCGTAGCCCTGCCTCGCTGGTTAGTACTCGAACACAGCATTAAAAAACATTAGTTATGTAACGTGGTACAAATTTTGGAATGTTTTCCCCAGAGCTTGATTCGATACAGATAAAAATGAATAAAAACCGGTCTTCTCAACTCCTCTGCATGTTAATAAGTTTTCTTATTTGATTTTAGATGTAACTTTAATGGTTAATAATTCTAACACTTTTTAATGTGTGAATTATAAAGCGAAATTTAACTATTACATTATTGCATAACATTAAACATTCCTTTTAAATTTCAGGCTACATATTTGTATAGGAACCTTCACTTGTCGGTGGGTGGCGCTAGGGCTACTAAAGATGAATCTGTAAACACGAATACATCAAAAGCTTATAATGTTATTGATCATCAACATGATGCTCTGGTTATTGGTGCGGGAGGTGCAGGTTTGCGGGCAGCTTTCGGTCTTGTGCAGGAAGGATTTAAGACAGCTGTTGTGACAAAACTATTTCCGACTAGATCACACACTGTTGCTGCACAGGGTGGAATCAATGCTGCTTTAGGTACTTTAATCTTCCTGTTGCTTTTTTCTTACACATTAAATGCCTATGTTCAGTTTTAGAATATTCTGATGCTTTTTACAATAAGTTATATTATTTTAGGTAACATGGAAGATGACAGTTGGCTATGGCATATGTATGACACAGTTAAAGGTTCTGATTGGCTTGGTGATCAGGTATGTGTGATTTAAGTAAACTATATCAATTATTATGTTAAGTAATCCACTGAATGTCTGTTTAGATATAAACTAAATGCAATTATATAATTACAGCAAAAAGGTATAAGTATGTTTGGTCTCTTTGGGAATGGAATCTTTTCATTGTGAATAACAACTTGTTTGTAAACAATTCTTATCCTAGACATTAAAAAGTATAGTTTTAATTTTAACAATGGTTAAAATAAAGATTGATCTAAAAGAACGCCAAAACATAAGATGGAATTAACTTTTTGTGTACTACCGCTACCTCTATCTCAACTACAAATGGTGAATAAAATTTTTTTTTTTCTAGGATGCAATTCACTACATGACAAGAGAAGCTCCACATGCTGTTATTGAATTAGACAACTATGGAATGCCTTTCTCTCGCACACCTGAAGGTAAAATCTATCAGAGAGCTTTTGGAGGACAATCACTTAAATTTGGTAAAGGCGGCCAGGCTCATAGGTGCTGTGCTGTGGCTGACAGGTATGTCAAAACACTATTTATTGTAAGAAATAACTTGTTTTATAATTTCCATATACATAAAAAAAAAAACAAAATTTAAATAAAAATATGGTGTAATTGTACCTTGACTAAATTCTGCATATAATTACGATTTATTTTATTTCGTTGCAGCAATGTTTTAATTATTGTATCTCATTAGTTCAGCTAAAGTCAATAATAGTGATGGGAATTTTTCAGTTTTGCATTTGTTAATTTTACTGTTCATATTTTATTTAAATATGAACAGTAGCTTTTTTCCTAGTCTAGTCTTCTAGTCACTCTAACTTAGGGTAGGTTCTAGGTCCCTCAGTGGGACATGTAGTGAGCTAGTGATGATGATGATTTTTTTATTGTTTTCGTAATTGTTTATAATTTAACATATTTTAGAACTGGACATTCCTTGCTGCATACATTGTATGGTCAGTCTCTGAGATATGACTGTGAGTACTTCATAGAATACTTTGCCCTTGACCTGCTGATGGAGGATGGTGTATGCAAAGGATGTATTGCTCTCAATCTTGAAGATGGAACACTACATAGGTAAGTTAATTAATAAATTTTAAAGCCTTCAGCTGAGAAATTATACAGTTTTTTTTATATTAGTAATGTATTTGTGAATGCTATAAAATTATTTTTTTTTTTATTTATTAGACAAAAGCATAAATTTAAAAGTACAATAAGAGACGTTATAAGTGGTACAGAAACCCACAGGATTTATGTGTAACCACTGGTTGCTTAGTTTATAGCATATGAAAAATAATAAAGAAACTTAGACTTAAATGATTTTTCTTTTTCATTAACCATTGTCATAGTTGTTAAAAGAAAGCAACTGTGTAAACAGTCTAAGAAAACATAACGCCACATAATGAGTCAACGTGAAACATTTTAACAAATGTAAACAATAATTTAAATAATTGATATATTGAAAAAAAAATTAACCACCAAGAATGTTTGATATATATGAAACAAATTTTTAACCTCAAGATTAATGCAGTATATGTATATTTTTTAACTAGTTGTTGACCACTATGTCGATCGCATAAATTAAAAAAAATAGGAACTCTTGTGTAGTTTCAGACTATGCTCTACATCTATGATAAATTTCAACATAATATGTGAGTTGGAGAAATGTAGTAACAAATATCCATGCATGTAAACTTTTACATTTATGATATTACTAGCTTTCGCCTGCGACTCTGTCCGCGTGGAATTAAAAAAAGTAGCGTGTGTGTTCTTCCAGACTATCCACATCTATGCCAAATTTAATCAATATTTGTTGAGACCTTTAAGCTTCAAACTCTAACGAACATCCATCCATCAAAACTTTTGCATTTGTAATATTAGTTAGAAGTAAAATATCTCAGGTTCCAAGCAAAGAACACGATCCTGGCGACGGGCGGCACGGGGCGCTCCTACTTCAGCTGCACGTCCGCGCACACCTGCACCGGCGACGGCACCGCCATGGCCGCGCGCGCCGGCATGCAGAACGAGGACATGGAGTTTGTGCAGTTCCATCCCACTGGTAATTACACACAAAACTAAAGACATTCAAGAAATATAGACTGGGCGTAGTGAAATTTTCGCCGGTAATTTTTCTGACTGGTAATATATCAGTTGTCAAGTTTAATACGCCACCTTGTGTCCTTGTATAGACATCATACTAATATTATAAATGTGAAAGTTTAGATGGATGGATGTTTGTTAAAGTTTGAAGCCTAAACGGCTGAACGGATCTCGATGAAATTTGGTATAAATAGTGATAGTGTGGAAGAACACATAGACAACTTTATAATAATTGAACCCTGAGATAAGTTATGAATGAACAATTATGAGAAGATAAAATGAATAATCAAATCATTTATAAAATAGGCGTTGTATATGTAAGGTATTATCGCCATATCGTTATAAATAAACAAGGACATCTAAAAGTGTGTACTGAATAATTTTGCCTCATTTACAGTATAATTTATCTTATAAACATTACATCAAGAAGTATTTAACACAATGTAGTAAAGACAATAATGAGATGTTAAAGATTACAGTCATTATCCGTCATTCGTAATAGATTTTTAATTACCGCTATTTACCACTCTGTAATACGGTATTACGTGAAAATAGCGTTAAAATGACTAATAGCACAGTTCTTCTTTTGTATACCTTAATGCTATTGTTAAATAAACGTTATATATTTTTGTTATTAACAAATACTGTATTAATCTTTACAAATATTATAAAGAATGATTTTTTTGTATGTATTGTTAAAACTCAAAAACTACTGGACCGATTTAAAATAATCTTTAATCATTAAAAACCTACGTTATCAGTGAGTAAGAAAGGCTTTAAAATATAGCCTATGTTACAGTTAAATTACCTTTCTAAAGGTGAAAGGTTTTTTGAAATCGGCACAGTAGTTTTTGAGTTATTCCAATACTTACAAAAATACAAATCTTTCTTCTTTACATTAGTATAGAATAGAGGTGAATGGTGTACCATAGTTGTGCAGGGTGTGTAGGCAGTGTGGTTGTGCGCAGGTATCTACGGCGCGGGGTGCCTGATGACGGAGGGGTGCCGCGGCGAGGGCGGGTTCCTGGTGAACGCGAAGGGCGAGCGCTTCATGGAGCGGTACGCGCCCGTCGCCAAGGACCTCGCCAGCCGCGACGTCGTCTCCCGCGCTATGACCGTCGAGATCATGGAGGGTATGTGCTACACACCATATTCTACATAATTTACATAATTATAAAGAACTGGCTGTTCCTGTGCGACATTATTGTTTACATTTGTCAAATTCTCAATTCCAAATGTCAAAATTACCATTACCATAAACTTTGCTTCCTTAATGTTGGCAGATTGTAGTTTATAGTCCTGTTTCCACATGAAAATCTTTTTACAATTTATCAACCCCCTAAGTTTAATAGCGTGAAAATATATAGCCTAAAGCGTGTCGTAAATGTAGGGCTTTTTATTAAAGAAATATTTATTCAAAAATGCGCTGTGATTGCTGAAATCCTACGCTACAAAGTTGTATGTGTTAACGCTTTATTATAGGCCATAAGTAAAAAAAAAAACTATTTTAAAACAGCGGCCATTTCGCTATTTTGGTGAATTCAGAAGGTTATGATATGTATGTCAGGTCGCGGGTGTGGTCCGGACAAGGACCACGTGCACCTGCAGCTGCACCACCTGCCGGCGGAGCAGCTGCGCCAGCGCCTGCCCGGCATCTCGGAGACGGCCATGATCTTCGCGGGGGTGGACGTCACCAAGGAGCCTATCCCCGTGCTGCCCACCGTGCACTACAACATGGGCGGCACGCCCACCAACTTCAGAGGAGAGGTCATTATAAAACTACTTTACTGCTTGCCTCAGCCAGTATCGGTATTCTCGGCGTTGACATATCGAGTGACGTTCAGTTTCGCGGTCATCTGGAAGACAAGGCCAAGCTGGCTTCCAAAAAGCTGGGTGTGCTCAGTAGGGCGAAGCAGTACTTCCAGCCGGGCCACCGCCTACTACTTTACAAGGCGCAAGTTCGGCCCCACATGGAGTACTGCTCGCACCTTTGGGCGGGAGCACCCCAATACCAGCTTCTTCCATTTGACCGCATACAACGGAGAGCGACTCGAATCGTCAACGACCGAGCTCTTACCGATCGGCTAGATCCTCTGGCCTTGCGGAGGGACGTCAGTTCCCTCTGCATCTTTTACCGTATTTACCACGGGGAGTGTTCCGAGGAGTTGTTTGGAACGATTCCTGCCGCCGAGTTTCGTCATCGGACGACGCGACAGACCGCCAGGTACCATCCTCACCATCTCGATGGCTGGCATTCCACAACCGTGCGGTTTTCGCGGAACTTTCTGCCCCGCACAGCCGCGTTGTGGAACGGTCTGTCCTCAGCGGTATTTCCAAACCAATACGACTTAGGGTCCTTCAAGAAGCGAGCCTATCATTTCCTCAAAGGCCGGCAACGCATCTGTAGTTCCTCTGGTGTTGCGGATGTCCATGGGCGTCGTTGACCACCTAGGTGTACACGCCGCTCGTTTGCCCCCTTTTACTATAAAAAAAAAAAAATACTTATTTCTGTATTACTTTCAATAGAACGTTAACCCTTAATTCTACGGAGTTTTATGTACCAAAAAATATTATATATTACCAACACACTAAAAATCAAAATCTCATGTATTTTTTCTCTAAACTAATTCATTAGATTTTTTAAAATTAGTTGTCACTGCCGAATTGGTAAAAAGAAAGAAAGGATGTAGATTTCAATTGTCTACCATTCAATCATGTTTGATATGTCGTAGTAAATAGTATTAAAACCAACGTTTATAAGTTGGTCTCGCTTAATGTTTCAAACATAAGATAGTCAAAAAAGATATAAACTGCAAAAAAAGAGATACACTTTAAGACCAAGAGTCTTTAAATGTTGATAAAAAAACATAAGATAGTTTACCTGTACGCTATCGATATATTGTTTTTTTATCCATTCTATCATTAAAGAGTGTGTTTAATTTTGATAATATTGTTACAAATGTGATAATATTTAGGTGATAACCCACCACAACGGCGAGGACCGCGTGGTGCGCGGGCTGCTGGCGGCGGGCGAGGCGTCGTGCGCGTCCGTGCACGGCGCCAACCGCCTCGGCGCCAACTCGCTGCTCGACATCGTCGTCTTCGGCCGCGCCTGCGCACTCACCGTCGCCAGCACCAGCCGCCCGGGAGACGCACAGGCGCCGCTTAAAGATGTAATGTACTCTTATTTTAATAACTTATGAAAAAAAACTGAATAGTATATGTGCTTTTCTAGATTGTTCCAAATTTCATCAAGATCTGTTCAGCCAGTAAAAAAAAATTTATCCGTCTAAATTTTCGCATTTACAATATTAGTCAGTTAAAATGAGATAAACAAGCAAGTGTAATTCGCCATAATAGTGATGTAACTGCATTAGAAGAAACATTTTTTACCCTAAATCACAGAAATAGGATATTTCCCCTACGCGTCCCTTCCTATGGCAATTTTTTTTAATTCCTCGTGTGTTCAAAATATTAGTCTTGAAATAAGGCAGAGGACCATTAATTACATTTTAAAATAGATAAAAATACTTACTATTTGTATATTTTTCCAGTCGACGGGTGAAGCGAGCATCGCCAACTTAGACAAGATCAGATACGCCAACGGCAGCATCTCCACAGCGGACCTGCGCCTGCGCATGCAGCGCTGCATGCAGACCAACGCAGCAGTATTCCGACAGAAGAGCACCCTGGAAGAAGGTAACAATATTAAAGATATTACAAATTATTTAGGAACACATGAATTCACCGAAAAGGCTACGCTTCCCCTCACTATAATACCTTTAATTAAGGAAGACACACATAGATATTTTCCATTAGGCATATCCACCATGAATCTCCTTACCTTTTCCTTACTTTTTTTACTAGAAAATGGTGGGAAGGGGAAGACACTTATTTAGGTCTCCGGTACGCACACTCATTAGACGAAACGTGGAATTGCTTCTATTTTCCCCCTAAATTTAATAGCGTGGAAATATATAGCCTAAAGCGTGCTGTAAGTGTAGGGTATTTATTAAAGTAAAAACAATTCAAAAATATGCTGTTATTGCTGACATCCTACGTTACGAAGTAGTGTTTCCGCTTTATTATATTAGTACAAATGTCATAACATAGCAATAAGGGTGTGATATTTGATGATTCCAGGTCAACGTCAGATCCACGAGATCTACAAGCAGATGTGTGAGCTGCGCGTGTCCGACCGCTCGCTGATCTGGAACTCTGACCTGGTGGAGACGCTGGAGCTGCAGAACCTGCTGCTGAACGCGGTGCAGATAGTGGAGGGCGCGCTGGCCCGCGAGGAGTCGCGCGGCGCACACGCCAGAGAAGACTTTAAGACGCGACGTGATGAATATGACTACTCCAAACCACTCGATGGACAGGTATACACTTTAAAGTAGTTTTTTCTGGTATGAATTAGCTGTTTCCGCGCGGCTTTATCTACTTATTATAAAATAAATGTTATGTTCCTTACATTTGTAAAACTTTCATAATTGAAATGACAACGAAGAAGAAAAATTTCAAATACCATGTCTTGCTTATTAGTTGTCCCTTTCTAGCATGATGTTTTTGCCAATTTATTCACCCCCTAAGTTACATAGCGTGATAATAAATAGCCTTAAGCGTGTCATTGTAAGGCTAAAATATACTGTGATTGCTAACAAAAAAGTATTTACATTTTATTGTATTACTGAACTTATACTCAGTTTATAGTAAGTTATTAAGTTTTGTTTTATTTCACTCCGGCGAAGTCTTTTGTGACCGTTATTATTTTAAAAAAGGTGTTATTTATATAAATAATGAAATATTGTGAGCAGAGCAAGCTGCCGTTCGAGCAGCACTGGAGGAAGCACACGCTGGCGGAGACAGACCCCGCCAGCGGCGCCACCACGCTGTCTTACCGGCCTGTCATCGACAGCACGCTGGACGCGAGCGAGTGCGGCACCGTGCCGCCCGTCATACGCACATACTAGAACATACATATTAGGTAACGTATTTACAAGTAGTTTTAAATATATACAGGCATAGTTGACATCACTTGAAATATTCACATATCCATCACTAACGTTATCGCTAAGAATAAATAAGACCCACTAGAACTTCTTATACAAAACTCTGTTTTTTTTTTTTATTAAAAGAAGTACTAAAATCAAAGACATACTGAATTATATAGAGGAAGCATAGTTGAATCTTCACTTGACACATTTTTCACATGATCTAACTATCGCTATCCGTTAATAGATCCTTAAAGCAATTAATTGTATTTAAATTAATTTCCACTACGTGTCACTAAATCATATTTAAATGATTTTATTTTGTGACTCTTTAATTTATAACAAAAGATGAGCATATTATAATTTTGTATAATGTCAATACAAGGACATGATGTGGCGTACTAAACTTGACAACATATTACCTGTCAAAGAAGTTACCAGTGAAAAATGTTCACTATGCCTAGTCTATGTATGACCAAAACCACATTTTATAACCTATCCATTTATAGAGGTCATTGGATCCTAATAACATGTCCACAATAGTTCAATTATAAAATAGAGAACAAAATTAAGTATTGTTTCAGGTAATCTCCGAACGGGTGCTGACTGAGCTAAGCAGTATTTAACAACACGAAGGCAAAGAGTTTGTGTTCATCTCAGATATTAATTATTTATAACATAATTTATTTTAGATAAGATCGCTTAGCGTTATAAATTCATGATTTTAAAACAAAACTACACTCAACATATACAAAAATAAAAAATGTTACCTCAAAAATATTACTCATAGTTTTTTAAATGTTTGACAGCATTTATTTCCATAGTCAGCACCAAGCAGTACTTAAATAGGGATTTTTAATTATTTAAAAACTAAAAGTCATACAAAATACAGATTCTTGCTGCTCAAGAACTCACCTACCTCAGTACAGTCACAATTTAAAACACGTCTCTGATCGAACGCAGCTCGCGAAATGACGATAAAAAGCATCTAAATGTACCGCAAATCATTTTGTTAACAGTTTTTACTTTATGAAATTATATAATTAATTATGTACAATCGATTATGTAGAATATAAGGATAATGATGTAAAACAACTGTGAATAAATGAACTGATGTAAATGTTGCTATTGTTTTATTTGTGTATAAAACCGTGGGTTTACATTGGAGCAAAACAACAAATAACATATTCACATCTCTTGCATTCTCTTAACAAAAACAGATGAAGCATAATTTTCCGTCTAAATTCAATGCTTCGTGGATTATCACGTCAACAAAAGGTTAGACAAGTTATGCGTGAAATAATCAAATGTAACACGAACATTTTTAAGGAAGTGTTCGTAAACTTCGAAATGTAATAGATTTATAAGCGTTCTTTTTAATTCATACAAGGGCAAGGGCGTTGCACAAATACAATTTTTGTCGATGACGTTACGCAAACTTTTCGTGCCAGCATATCTTGTTATTGTCTAATATTAATTAGGATTAAGTTTGACAACTGATTTGAAATCACGTGCGCTATTACAAAAACAATTTATGTCACGTCGATTGGGCACAAGATTATTCCGATGATAAATAAAACCGTTTAAAAACATAATCAGACGACTAAAAATATGTTTTGTTACTAACGAAGTTGTGCGTTGACGTCAAACATAAAATAAATAAAATGCAATCGATATAATTTTAACATGACGCTAACTTATCGAACCATTTGATGACGTCATCAAATACGCAATCGCGATGCAACAAAAACAACAGTAAAATCATTACAACTTTTGTCTCGCAACAATTTGGATGGACTGATAAATCGTGTAAAAGTTTTGACGAATAGATGGATGTTTGCTACTACGTATCTCCAGAAAAATTCTCGCTAAAAGGCGTAGACGTAGAATATAGGCTGATAGGACAGCTAGACATTTAGATACCGCTCTGACTGGATACAACTGACGAGTTATTAAATTATAATAGTACCTATATCATGCGTACATTACGTTTTAAGACATTCAAACGCTAAATTATGTATAGTACAGTAATTATAGCAAATATCTTAAATACTTTGGCACATGGTCGTCGCCACTTCTGCCAAAAATCAAACCAAAAACGTTCATTTAAATTCAAAGACGTATAGCAGTGATGACAATATTTAGAAGTTTGCAAGTAGACATACGTGCCGCGGGGTACATGAATGATGTTGGATCGAAAAAGATAGAAAGCCTAGCACTAATAACTCAACTACTCCAAAATTGTATGAGTTTAAACTGCATTTTTATCGTACGTGTACTTCCGTCTGTCTAAACAGAATCAGAACATATTGTTATTTAAAAAAAAACGAGACCATTCTAAATTGATGAAGATGAACAACTAAGTATGACCTAATGCTCATACTTAGTAAAACAATGAGGTATCTCAAAGTATCAACGTTTGCAAACGGCACTTCTTTTGTGTAATACCCAAATACTAAGCTATAGGAAAAAGTACCGTTGACTTCACCACTACAAGCTAGCGTGCAATGTCGCGCTTCAAGCGACATCTGGCTCGTGAGATGTAATAGTCATATGACTTCTAGAGTTATACGGTAATATACTGAAATAACTAAAATGTTTGCTATATTTACCTAATAATTAAATTTAATATTAATGTAACGTTTGCTAACTTTGAAGCACATTTCCAATTTTTTACAATAAGGCTTAACCTTAAAAATCAATTGACCGATTACTTTTTAAACTAAACAAACTAACGAATAAAAATTGATAAAAACGATGTGTAAAGGCTTATACTGTTACCTGTTCTGTTACCTACATAAGAACTTTCCCAGATCAATAAAGTTCATTGACCGTTAACCCGTTAACAGTATTCGTTGCACACGCGTCTCTCAGGCCGCGTCTTATTCACGTACTTGTATAAATGTAACTATATTATGTTCTATAAGCATGCATTAAAATTATGCCTATACAGCATACAGTATAGTTAATATATTATTTGAATCAAACAAAACTATAATAAATTTAACATCAATGAAAGGACATCACTTTTCCTACATTTTAAAAATCTTAATAAACTTAAGACTGACTTTTTGATACAAACACACATTACGCTATGACTTTTACAGCAATTATGATTTGACTTCATGTTAGCTAGTCACTCTAGACTAGATCATAGTCTGCAAAGTCATTTGGATACAAAGACCACAATGCCTATTGATACAATACCTATTGTAGGTACATTTTACGAATATCTTGCAATGCTAATGAACCTGGTGAAAAGCCAAAGAAGAAATATAACTTTTATTATATCTTATCACTACTAAGCCTAGCAACAGTAATTTGATTTCACGACACAAGTCTTGTTGCTAAGCTAATTAACAATTCTCGCTCTTATAAAAAAAACATTAATAAACAACAAAATAATTACACTAAAAATATCCCAACAGACCCAGAGGTCGGAATGTGATAACGAAAGGTGGTCTTTGTTGGTTTGCAAAATTATTAGGTCATGGATTTTTTTTATGTTGGCAACTATTAGATTAAATACAAATCCGGGGAAATAATGATATGGAGAAAACTTTTAGCCTTTGGATATAATCTTAAATGTATTTTCTGTCATAAAATTAATTAAGTTATTAACATTAGGAGTAATTTGTCGGTTAAGTAAACAACAAATAATTAATTTCTACTGGCTGACGTATCTTCAATTCAGAAAGCGCACTTTTTAAACCTAATGATATGTTATTGATCGAGCTATAATATTTAAAAAATCGTTGATGTCCAAATTTCTTTACTTATTTTTATTATCATTAATATGAACAACCAAATTAGATCAGGGCCTACGGGTCAAGATGTCTGTATGAACATGAAATAACTTAAATGACCCCGACTACAAAAACGGTGTTGCGGTTGCGTGGTACTTACTTATAATTTAAGACAAAGCCGATTTCTACTTCTGTCTTCTGTGAGGTCGGCGTATTTCACCTGTCGAGCCTATTCATTCGTGCAACAGACATCATTACTGGTTCTATCTCTAGACAAATATACTTTTAGGCTCTCTTAACAGATTCCTTTTTCGTCATATTGGTCGAATGCAACTTATACGAAAATTTATTTCTAGTAAATTCCAAACGCTGCACATGCTTGTTTGTACATACATATGTCCACAATAAGCTGACACCTACTTTGTATGTGCGCTAATACAATCCTAAGGTCAACTTTCGTTGGCATAACACCAGAAGTCTTGTATTCAATTGACAAACTTTCATGTTTTAGATTGATCAAGATAAAACAAACATTAATAGGTGAAACGCGCATGAACTCATATTGTACTGCTTATAACTCGTGCTAGCGTTAACATTCTGTAAGTTAGTAGAGTTTTGTTTCCATTAGCTTTCGCCCACGACTCCGTTCGCGCGAGATAAAATAAAAACATAACTGAGTAGCCTATATGTTCTTCCAGATTATCCTCTACATCTATGCCAAATTTTATCGAAATCCGTTCAGCCGTTTAAGCTACCAACTCAAACAAACATCAATACATCCAATCATCTAAATTTTCACATTTATAATATTGGTAAGATTGGTAAGATATAGAAATCTAAACTAAGGAAATGCTTAAGTAAACCTTAAACGATGAGGAAATAAAAGTAATTGGGATACATACAAACAATAAAACTGCGTTAACATGTCCGTAAACAAATAGAAGTCTCTAAACCTTATCGGCACTTGAAATACAAAACAAAATTATATTGTAGTGTTTTTGTAACATCAATATAAATATTTTAGATTCTAATAACTAATTGATTATTTCCATTAACAATTCGTATAGTCGTTCGATGTCGAAATGACGAAAAACCAAGCAAATGGATTACAAACTAACCATAGTTTGAAAAGATTACCTGCCAACAACAATCTATGGGAACATATTAACAAGAAAGAGACTGCAAGCTATAAAACGCATTAAACATATTCGTCTACCCACATATTTATTGTTGGTACAGAGTACTTAGTAAAATCGACGCTTTATCTTTAAATGACCCATTACACTGGCAGCGACTGATAACATCCCCTGGGGTCAGTATTTCGCAGCCGCCGCGCCGCGCTGCGACCAGTCTTATATCTGACGCTTCTCTCTCTACCCGCGTTATTGTGCTCCCTGGGCCCAACCCTCTCTCCTGCATTCTCTACACAGTGGTTTCATGGTGCTATCTGGTGTTCACCATTCGTACAGCTTCGACAACTCTCGCTTTGTCCCCAAAAGCGATAGTGAAGAGTTCAATTTGACGCTCGAAAATATTGTTCCCAAACTGTGTGAAGGTAACAAAGTGCGACATCTTATACAGATAATTGTAGTTCGTATATAAACTTTGATATGTTGTGATAGTTATAGGAATAATGCAGTTTTTGATATTATTTATTTCTATTGTTAAATGGAAATTTTATGTTCATTACATTCCCATTCTTTTAAAACTTGCTTTTTTATCTAATTTAAACGTAGGAACACACACGACGTGATTACTACTACAATAATAACATTATAATGTTTATCCTTAAATTCTTTTGTATTAATTTGCCTTTAGTATTATTATAGTCATACAAAAATCTTACTGTTTGTTAGTAATTGACGGGATAAAAACTGTTCCGCCTTTTTTCTAGCGTGCCAAAACAATATGGCGTCAATTCCTCCATCAGCGTTCTCAGCAAAGCGCATCCGCGAGACCGAGCGGAACATGAAGATATCCAACATCGACAAGCGAGGCCCGTCTTCTAAAGTCTTCAACACCAATTGTAATATTACTTTCTATTCATCATTTTCTCTTCCTAAAACGTTGGCAATAAACAAAATAGTGTGATAAAAAGTTTATCACATTAAAAAAAAAACATACAACTTTTCTGTCTCGGATTTGAATCAACCAAAAATTGCTACCGAGGAAAAAATCGATTACAAAGATTTCCTACATCTGTTTTGTTGCATTAAAACAATAAATTATAAAACATTTGGCATGATACATGATGATATATTTTTATAATTTCAGTGATGGAACTTACTCCGTTGAAATATAATAGCAAGCTAATGAACAGCATCTGGGGCTCGTACAACCGTTACTCGCCGCACAATGTTAAGAAGGTCAACGATGCTTTTACCTTCAATGTGGAATTGCAGCAGTAAGTATCAAAGATTTCAAAATCAATAACCTGTCCTTGTGTCAAAGGGTCAGTACACTATGTTAGTACTTCTCTTATACATCTCATATACTCTCACATTATCTTCTATTCTTACTGTGTATTGTAGTAATAAGTAGTTCTAGTAATACTTCCATGGTATTAAAAGTATATAAGGCCAGTATGCATAGTAGACTTTTTTTTACGTTCTGAAACCATACAGTGCTAGAAAACTGAGTACGTACTGGCCTTGTATAATAATATACGTACATATGTATATACGTATATAATTATAGATGAACTAATGGATTCTTTTTATTTCATTACAGATCCGCTGCCAATTCCTCTAACAAGAATGAAGCTATGATAATTTTACCAGCACCCAAACTTGACAATTTTTGGGCTTCTATTAATATTTCACAATCACAAATATGACTAAATCTAAGAATCTCATTAATATAAGATAACTGAGTACTGGATCAATAAATTGTTTATATGCTAGACGCGTTTATTTTATTTATCCAGTTTTTTATTAATTTTTTTTCATCATCTTAAATGCGAATGTATGAATAGAAAAGTATTTACTCGTAAATGCTCTCTCACTAAATTGGATAAATATGAATACACATGTAATTGATTTTGTATAAAGAGAACAAACGTGAAATGCATGGACCTACCATACAATTGTACATTTGAATTGTCATGTAAGAATCTAGATGAACCCTAGACCGAATTACGCTTAACTTTAAGGGATCAGAATTCCAAATTCGTCAATCAAAACAAAAGATATAATAAGAGCACAACAGTGAGGCCGAAAGAGAGGCTAATTGTTGGGGTGAATTCCCTCATTCTTGTCATTTACAATAAAAGATGTCTTTTCGAAATTCGCTCTTGATTTAGCGTAGCACTTGCATAAAACACTCCGTTTAATATTTAAGACAAAATATTAACTTCAATAATCATTGAAAGAAAATATAGTATATAGTAGGGCATTCAAATTAACATACTAACAATAAACATACTTCCACTGTCTATAACTTAAAGAAAATACACAATTACCACATAAAGCTTAAAGCAACACAAGACATTAAGTTTTTGCTATTTTTAATTGACAGGCGTTTCGAATTTCTAGATTTAATTTTAAAGTTTCATTTGGTTGATGAAGAAAATGTATGTATATTATTGTTATTACAAAACATACAAACCCCAAAATATTTTGTTATAAAATATCAGAACCTTGATATGCTGGAAGAATTCACATCAGAACACTTTTATTTCACAGATCAAATGCACAAGGTAATGTCAAGTAGTTGTAGTCAAATGAAAGTCTGTTCGTCCCAAGAGTAAAACATCGTCTTTTTCACACTAGAGACACACAGTTTAAACATTATATTTCTACTCAATTATAATGAATAAATAAATCAGAATTGCACATATTAAATATTTTTATTAACAATCAATAATTTATGAGAAGTTATTAAACATTTTACTAACCAAAAAACAATACTTTTACTACATTTTAAGTCTATACATTAATCAATTTTTATAGAGAAGCTAGCTCCACAAGAACAACCAATATCTGCATTAGGGTTTTGGACAACTCTAAACGCAGATCGTATTAGTTCAGTATGATAATCAATAGTGGAGCCAGTTATATACTCTAAAGATGTCTCATCTACAACTACCTGCACACCATCCCTCTTAAATATTCTGAAACAAACAATAAAATTAGCAGTTACTATTTTTTTTATTTGTTTGAACTCATTTTGCAAATTTTACATACTAAAGTTATTGCATAAATAACATCTTTTACAAAGAATGGCTCTTGGCTAAACTAAATATGTATTTTTTTTATATTATAAGATGACAAACCAGCATTCGGTCACCTTAATCCACCAAAATGGCGAAGCAACTACTGCCCATGGACATTCACAATACACTCATCAGATGAAACGTGGAATTGCTTCCACTTCACGCCTGTCTTCTGTGTGATTGTGGTATTAAACTGAGCAAGCCGACTCATTTTTGCATGGATGTCAAAGCGGGCCACTGTTAAACATCATCTAACACATAGGATCTTACAACATTTTTGGGCCCATACAATACATGTTTTTGGAAAGGTGTTTTGGTAGTACAAAAGTAAAGTATTATTCTCTCAATTTAAAATTTACATTAAGTAAAAAAGGCATGTGAAATTTAATACATGGTGGTAATTCAAATACATGTTTGACTTTTTAAGTTACATATTTTGTAAAAATTATGAGAAAAACTTAAATAATATAAAAATACATTGTTAAATAGGGTAGTTAATACTTTAGTTTTAATTGCCATCTATTATAAGTGATAATGAGAAGTATGGCTAAGAGATAGTGGATGTAAATAAAAGTAATGTCACAAACAGAAAATTCCCTTTATCTTCATCAACTAAAGATTAATTAATTTTTTTACTAAGCTTCTTAATTTTAATTTTGATTGAACATTCAATATTTTTTACCTATTTTGACTACTTATGTGTAGATATTTCATTTCTTATTAAACAATAAGTGTATGATTACACAGGTACGTGTTAAAATTGAAATAATATAAAGCCAATGTTGCTCAAAAAATCCTACAATTATTATCTGTTCTTAAGTCGTAATTTAAAAAAAAAAAACAGGATATATTTCGATGAAGTTCATTACCTGTCTTCTTCACCAACTTTATCATCTAAATGAAACTTATATTGAAAACCCGAGCATCCACCGCTCTCCACGCACAATCTTAAGAAAGATTCATCTCCTTTACACAGTTGTTTTAATTTCTGTACACAACTATCACTAAGTTTTATTGCGTCATGTGCAATCTTTCCAGAACCAAAAGATTTTTGTATTCTTATATAACTGTTACAACTTTTCCTAAACAATGTAAAAGACTTATGGAACATTGCAACTTTTTTTAAAAAATCCGCTAATCAGACATGCAAAATATAGGCGCGAAAACTTTAAGTCTCATTATATGTTAATATCTATGAAAACCAAACAAATTAACCACTCAACATGACCACGATCACGAAACGAAATAAAATATAAATTATTGTCATGTCAAATGTCACTGTCACTGTCACTAGTGACTGTTCGTCCACTAACTTTTATAAATGGACAGGCTTAATGGGAACCAAATAAATAGGAATTATTGACATTATATAAAATGATACTACAACTTAGACAAACTCCTATAATTTTTATTGCACAAACTTTTTGTGTAAATGTTATACGATTGTGGTTGGTAGTGGTTATGAGAATTACACTAATAAGATTTTACTCTCAAGAACTAAAAGTGTCGCGTTTAACTGGGAACGAAATAAAGTTGTCATTTCAGAGTCATTAGTTATAAAGATCACTGAGTTGGCTTAATACTAGTAATTTTTATATTAGGCCAGTACAGTTCGTCAGTAGCGAAAAAAACTTGTCTGGCAATCAACTGGCACAGTTGAGCGCTAATTGGCAACTGTGTCAACTAAAATGGCCAAGTGTGAATCGTGCTTTACTTTTATTATGCAATAAAACTCTATAACTGACTAAAGATCTCTACAACTGGATGGGCCACTGCTTAGATTTCACAACGTTTGCTTTGTTCCGACTTAACCCCGACCGTTAAAGTTCTTGGTAGTTAAATCTTATTAGTTTGAATCGTCACCACTGCTACCAACAGCAACTATCAGCGCCAAAATGGCGAAAATAAAATAGGTACAAACAGTTGATGAAATAAACAGTATGTTAAAGAAGATGTTTAACTTTTTTTTTATTTTGTTCCCGTGGTAAATCACTTCAAAGAAAGACTTATGCTAGGTTGCTAAGTTTCCATTTACTTTGTCATTGCCAAGTGATTAATTACTGTTAGGTTTATTTACCCAATTTACAATGGAGTGAAACTCAAGCTCAAACGGAATGTTATGATTTTATCGATCCATAAGTACTATCGAATGGTCAAAACATGATCGAAAACCAGCCATTAATTGAACGAAAGCCCAATTATTAGGTTTGTTGTAGAAAAAAATGACCCGTCTATACAAAAAACTGTTTTCCCGTGCAAATTTCAGTGAAAATTATATTTTTATACCATAAGTGAAATAATCTTGGAACTATAAAAAATCGCGCAATATGCTTAAGGTTTTAACGACAGCTATTGAAGTGCTGTACTTCCATAAAGTTTTTGATCCGTCTATTAAAAATAATGATAATAATGTAGTTCCTATATCTAAACTGACCGATACTTTTTTGTACTATACCACAGGCACACTACAGAGTCTGCCTGTGGTATAGTACAAGAAAGCACAAGGCTTGCTTGCACAAGATCTACCTGTGTTACAATCTTTATGAAACACAAAAGAAAGAAAAAAACCGATTACTTGTGTTCTGGTATGATATTCTATTTTGTATGACGGAAATATCGAACTTTTCTGTAATTCACTAATTTCATAAATGTTTTAACTTCGCTTACGTTGCTAAATCTTTTTTGTTTGTAAATTGTTCTTATTAAATTAATAGTTTATATGGTTTGATTTAGAAATTTAAAATATTACCCATGTTATGCGTAATAATTTATTGGTAGTCACACCAATTCTCCGAGTACTGTGTCAGAACAGGAACGAAACATGCTAGTGTGAAAGAGATGCAAGAGCTTTGGGGTAAGCTGGCCAGCGGTCCGATGTTGTTAAAGAATATAGTGTGTCCCTTTACTATTATTCTCTTAATGCAAAAAGTAAGAACAGATTCATGTAGTGTAAATTACGTGAAAATCATTTTTTCTTTAATTTAAAACAAAAAAAACGGTAATTTTACAGATCAGAAAATATAACAACACACTTAATACAAATGTGAGACAACATTAATGTTTAAACCCTTACCCATAATATTCAATTACTAGCTTTAACCTTATTTAAAATTGTCAATCGGTTAAAGTTTTGTTGAAATTTGTAGTTTTGTGCTGGATACCCTACTCCACTTTGCGCGGCAGCGGTCAGAAGGCGGAGCTTATCGGCAAACTCGCGTCGAAGCTGGCCTCACTGTCAATTCGAGAGCTGCGAAGAGTACGCTCGCGTCTATTACGTAGTGTGTTTGTAGTGAAGTGTGTTTTGTGAAGAATTTTCGAATGTCGTGAAGTGAAACAGAGTGTTGTTTTTCCTCAAAAAGTGCATATCGTGTGATTGGCGTTATGTTTATTGTATAATTTCATAGTGTTTAAATCAAAATGTGTATAGCACCGTGGTGTGCAAAATTGATTTTTGCCACGTAGTGACGCGAACGGGTAATGATTCCTAATGTGGAGTTCGGAGCAAGATGGTTAGAGAGACTCGGCACCTGTGGGTTGGAAATTTACCCGATAACATACGTGAAGATCGAATAAGAGAGCACTTTAAACGGTAAAATGTTCATTTTTGTCTTATACTTATTATCGTTGTTATTGTATGTCTTATGTTATATTCAGTGTAAGTTTATCGGGTAATAGATGGCTCATTTCTTAAGGAATTGCTATATTTGATATCTACAACAATTTTTAAAGCAGAATCTACAGCTACGACAAAAATAGACGCACACACCGGTATAAACAAACCCTTATTGAGTATTCCGCAGTTATTACACTTCAGTATAGTAAGTTATTACCTTTATTAACACATAATAAGTACAGACGCTACTGTTGACGTTAGTGGTCCAAATAAATTAAGCTATATAAACAAAAAAAAGTTTTGTAGTTTACTACGCAGAATATGGCCGACTGTTGTTAACTGTTACGACGTTGCCGATCTAGCTACTATAGATAAAACACGTTTTTGTGCACCTACCACACTAATTAGTAATAAACGATTGTGCATGATTCGATCACTTCTCAGCCTTCCCATTTATTTATTATTACCTGCTGTATTTATAATATATTAAAAGGTATTTTACGCGGGACTCTTCGTTGGTTTTGGTTTTATATTTAAACAATGAAGAAGCGTGACTTTTTAACTGGAGTTTTATTTGTTTTTGTTTATGAAACTCTGTAAGATAATCTGATAAATATTGATTGAAATTAATATCAAAATTAAATTTAAAATTCAAGACAAAATATTGCTTCTATTATACTATTTTTTATTTTGTACCATATTACAAAGGCTAACACTTCCTTACAATGCTACTTCTCTTTTCATTCATTCAATCAGTCACACTAAGCATACTAAATGTGTAAATATTAAGAAGGCTATTACTTTAAGCTTTACATTTTATAGTAAAATTAGATTTCATTCCTAAATGCTGAATAATTTCTGAATTTACTTTTTTTTTGTAAACATTTCAAAAATGAATCATCAGTAAATGTGAAGGTTAAAGCTTTGTTGATATGTAATGGTAATAAAATAGTATGTTCTATGTTATGAAGGCCCTTGGAATTGGAAGTATTTTTGATCCATATTTAATGTTATTGAATTGAAACATGAAAACTAGCAAAGTTTAATGATAAACAGCAATAAAATGGCCTTTTTAAACACTGAAATCATCCTTTGTCCACTTTTAAATAGGTGCATTGTTTTTTTTATTTTTCCAAAGTTAACAATTTTATTTTTTAACAAGTTTTTTTATTTAAACATTTACAAAGTTTAATAATTTTTCCGTTTCAGGTATTTTAAAAATCAATATTTAAAATTATGTTTTTTAAAATCTAATTTGATTATAAAAGAAAAATGATGAGAAAAATGATATTTGAGTGATGATGAAATAGAGACAGGTCATGGGATAATTTATATAAATACAGTACTGTTTTCACACCTTGAAACACAGTAAATTTTAAAATAAATAAAGGTATTTTAAATAAAAAATTAAAGTCCATTAAAATTTAACCCCTAAAAATACAATCTGGGCTTCCCTTTAAGTACTATAAAAGATGTAAAATAACTTTATTTTGCCATACTTGAACTAAAAAATAAATTTATATAAAATCAAAAACTCCATAATCACTGTTTACTATAAAACTGTAAAGTGCCATAGCATTATTATCACTCATACAAATGTTGAGACAGCAGTAGTCGACCATAATTTGAGAAAATAATATCCATTGTAATATAATAATTACATAAATATATACTAGAACATTTCTTCTATTCTCACTCCCTTCCTAAGCATATTGTATTGCACATGATCCATCCATGCTTTCTTTCATCGTTCCCTACCGTTGTAGCCATCAACACTTAATTACTTTTTTCTTCTTAAATACTTGACCACTAGTGCCAATATTAAACTTCTTCTAATATACACATTCTTAACTTTGTACCTTCTTGTGACACCACACATCCATATTAATATATCTAATATCCTTTCATCTGCAACTTTTGTGGCTCAACATTTAAATCATACAAAACAACTGGTTTTATGATCAGTCCCTTGAGCTTAATAGGCCTCTTGGAAAACAAGTCACATCGGTAGCCTGGCGTCATTTTCTTCCATCTTGCATTTATGCGGCTTTTTACGTCTTGGTCAACGTACTAAACTAGAGAACCAAGAAATTTCAAATCGGAGCAGGTAGTTAGAGGTACCAGTTTTTCTCCTCAATCGTCATAAATGGTACACCAAAAACTGGTCGAACCGCCAAAATCGCAGAATAAATGTTTGGTTAGGGTCCTACAAATCTTAAGCTCGATGTCATCGGCTTAAAGCATAAACCAGGGTGCCTCCTCCTGTATATTTAATGTCAGAGTATCCATTACCAGGAAAAAAAGAAACGGACTTAAAGCCGACCCCTGGTAAGCCCATCGAAACACCGTACATGTCAGTATCGCCAGCAGCGGTCCGAACTTCCGTACTTGCTTGCCAGTACTAATATACTAGCACGAATAAGCTGCAGGTATTTCCGAGGCAGTCCTTAAACTTTCAAAGGCCACTATAAAGCATTCCTCAGAACCCCTTACATACTGCTTTTCGAGGTCTACGAACACCATGTGCAGGTTCTTTATGCACACGCTTATATTTTATACATAACTAGCTGTTCCCATGCGACTTCATCCGCATAAAATTATAAAAATTTCATTTTATTGTTCACATTTGTCAAATTATCAATTGCAAATGTCAAAATGACAGCAGATGATGTCAAACCATGGCAACCTTGCTTCCTTGATGTTGGCAACAACTTATGATCTCTTTCCTCATCCTTTCTTTTTTCTCTCTTTCTTTCTTCCTTCCTTTTTTATTCTTTCCTTATCCTCCTCATTAGGGTTTGTATCAAAAATATTTACCCCTAAGTTGAATGGCGTGAAAATAGGCAACAAAGAAGTATGTGTTTACGCTTTATTATATTAGTATAGATTAGCGAATGGCAAAAACGGCGTGCGTATTCCCCCGACCTCGCGTAAATCCGAATTGGTTTTGAGATATCTCACTCTCTTCTCTAATTTTTGCATCTAACACTATTTACCAAACTTTCATGCTGTGAGCTTTATTCCTTTATAGTTGTCACAATCCTGTACATCCCCTATTCTTATAAATGGATAACAACGAACTACTACACCACTCGTCTGGGATTACCTCTTTCTGTAACTACTTGCTTAAGAATAGAGTCAGCCACACCCATCCATCTGACTTTAGCAGTTTCCATACTTTCACTGGTATTCTTTCCAGCCCAACAGCCATTCCATTCTTTATGAAGAAGGTATGCCTTCGCATCCGCAATAAATACAATAACATAGGATAAAAACTATTAAACATAACTATATAAAAAATCGTAATAGACCGACAGCCAATCGTTACTTACTACAATTAGGATTTTGCAATGTCGCGCTCCAAAAGCAACACTAGCTCGCAAGCGGTGCGTCGCTGTCGGGTCGTCGAACTCGCCACGGCCGATAATACGCAGTCCAGAGGATGTCTTACAGATTTACTTGGACCATTGATTAGATTTGGTTAAAAAATTTAAAACCATTTTCAAGTATCCTATTTTTTCAATGTAATTTAATTATTAAAACATACCAGTAATAATATCCATTAAAGTTTACAATCTTATTCTTCAAAATAAATACCCACTTCAGAACATAAATAGACGGACCTTAAGCGAAGAACATTGTAGTCGATAATTATACGACGTAGTAGAAGGTAGCCGTGAGGTACAACTATCGAGATAATTTTAAGTACAAATGCACTATTATATCTTTTTGCTAAGTATTATTAAAATACAATATTGCAATTGCATTAAACTAAAATTTGTAAATTTCGTTCATCTTTGTAAAATATTCTTTGTAATAAAATTTATTGAATTGAATGAAGTAACTGACGAGCCAGCTATCGAACGACACACCTTACGACTCTGTTCGCCTTGGGTAAATGTAGTGGCGCCTTGCGGCAGGCAGCCTGACGAGAAGTGCGGCAACGCCGCATGTTTTGTACGTGTGTCCGGGCGAGCCGTATGTAGCTACTCTATCAATACATAGCTGTTGTTGTTATGTAGATTTGTATTGAACGTTCATTCTGCGCCCTCGCCCACGAACGTTGATATGTAGGTTCTTTGTTAATATTACGTTCTATGTTAATTTATAATAATTGAAAAACTATATCGTCTACTCTCATTGTAAAAGAAAATAAAGCTGTGATAGATAATATAAATACTTGTATGGTACGCCAATCTAATATCTTATCTGGCCTAAATAAATTTTTTTATCGACGAAATAATTGTGATAAGGTACAAACGTATCGTAGCGGCAACAACGCATTTTTGACGAGTTCTACAAAACCATTCCAATTTCAACAAGCAATCTTGGCTATAATTATAGTTATGTTATGCGTCATATCAAGAAGTCAGCGTTACATTTGTGAACAACAACTTGATGGCCTGTTTTGTTTTAGCATAATACTTACGATTCGGCACGTCTTAGATATCAGTCGCTTTGTCGAGAATCGTAGAGGTGAAGATTTGCTACTTCTAATCTGTAAAATAATAGTTTAAGTATATATTTATTCATTTTACATATCTATATAATTATAAATACAAGTATTTTTCATCTACAAAGCATTTGCACGATCGACATTTATTCAAATCGACAAAGGTCGACATAAAATTATAGTTAGACACGATTTTGGTAATGTCACACTGTGAACTTTTGTCATGTGTACAAATAATTATGTGAATTTATTATTGTACGGCAATATACGGCTTATTTAAAAACGTACATTATTGACTCGAATTCATTTTATGTACGCTGTATGTCGTCAGCTCATACACCTTCATACACCTACCGTGTTGCTGACGAACTGTCAGTGATGTGAACTACCTCAGTCAATCATATATGACAGTTATGGTTCATGAAAATGCTATAAATATTGGTCCTCGATCTACCCCCATAAATCAATTAACCAGCCAAAATTACGTTTAGGTTGCCAAACACTGAAGATTAGATAAATATAC